AGCTTTGATCCTGACTGTAGAAAAAACTGTACTAACTACTTTGATAAATAAATAGAAATTTAAATTCCAGGAAAAAAAAAAAAAAAGTTTTATTCTGATTTTCTTGTCAACATTAATTGTACTTTTGTTTCAACAATTTTTTTTTTTAACCCCAGTTTGTACATTAAAATTGAGACAAAATCCCAACTAAGCAAACCTTTAATTTCACTGTTGGTTTTTAATCTAGATCCAGCATTCTTTAGCTGCATATGGTTTAATTGTTAATTTACTCATATTATTTAGACTTTTGTGAAATTTTAGAATAGTGTTCAATTTTCAAAAGTTCTGATTTAGGAAAATCCTCCCCAGATTTTTCCAGTATTGTACATTTTGTATATTTTAAGGAAGCAGAAAATATCAGATTAGAAGTTTCCCAAATGCTGAACCCAAAGTCAGTTTAAGCACATTGTTGGAGAAAATAAACCCTTAAAAATATCTTCAAAAAAAAAAGAAAAAAAAAAGCTTTAAAAACTGAAAGAAAATGTTAAATTTCATGATTTCAAAAATATTCAAATGGAAATATTACACTGTATAGGAAAGTATCTGAGAGGCCAATATTTGTGGCATTAGAGAAACTATAAACATTTAGAGACAGATTGCTTTTCCCACTTTATGCTTTTATAAAACATTTTTAAAATGCAAAAAATGAGATTATGCAACTTGTCAACCATTTTAAAGCTTTGTGCATATTTTTCTTTTGTTCATGAAGCTTTGCTGTGACTTCTCCTACAGGGAGATCGAGTATCTGAAGAAGGAGACGGAGCGCTGCGCGCAGGTCGGAGCCGAGGCGTCTCTCCTGAAAGAGGAGTCAGGACAACTTCAGGAACAGGTAATGTTTGAAGTAAAAACTTCCCAGGAACATAAATATCTAATAAAATCTATTTAAATAAGCAAATAAAAATACGAAATGTCCTCTGCTTTAGTTAATACCCTTAAAATAAGAACAATCCCAAACAGGCGATTACTTAAAAAAGCCAAACACAATGAAGATGTTTAGTTTAATCTGGCTGCCATTGTTGTTTAGTTGAAACCTTCAGCCGATGTCGCTAAGCTTTCTTCTCTCCTGTCTTACAGGTGGCTGATCTGGAGGTTATGGTGGAGGAGCTAAAATCTGAACCCTTATAAAAGCCTTTTTTCATTCCATATAAACTTCACCTGACGAACTGAACTGCAGGGTATCTTCTGTCTCCAACGTGAGCCCGGTCACACTCCGTGTTTTTTGGCCATTTAAACCTTTTTTTTTTCCTTTAACATTTATTGAAACAGCACTAAAACAGACTCTGTTGAGCTCTAAATGTACCTTTCCTGTTTTTTCTGTATTTTTATTTTTCCTGTATAATTTGTCGTCTTGTGACAGACCAAGCTGTTGCTTTTAATTGCCAAAAACCTTTTTTTTTTTTTTTGGTTTACCTGGTTTGTGACCCACCTGTTTTTGTACAGATGTGATGCCGTGTTTTTAAGTTTGGTTTGTAAAAATTTTAATGTGGAAAACATTTAACATAATATAAACCAGGAGTGGAAGGTTGTATATTTTACATAACGCGAGAAGAAGGGAGGAGATTGCACTGACGGCGCCGTACGTGAATGGAAACTGATTTTTTTTTCTTTCTTCGTAGTAACAGTTACCTTCTTTTTAGGGGTCTTGTTACCTAACCTTGCTGCCTACCTTCCTGAAGTGTTTGTGTATTTTCTACACACTAAATCCCACCAAGGAGAGATCATTCCTCTGGTTTCATCCCTCAAGTCTTTAGAAAAAAAGGACTGAAATAAACAAACCCACACCTCCTGTGCCACGAGTAACAGCTCTCTGGTTTTCCCTTCATACGGACGGTGAGGACTTGTGCAACTGGAGCTACAGATACCTGAACCATAACCCGGACTGAGATCTTTTCCTTTTTTTTTAAAGTCATTACCAGCAGCCAAGTTTTAGTCTGGAACCAGCAGCTGCACCTGACACCCCCGCGTGTAGCACATGGAAAAACACTGCCAGGTTTCTACCTGTTTGGGTTAAATGCACAGTTTAAACCAGTCACCTGTCATTGCAGTATGTTTGTATAGTTCAGGTCGGACTTCAATATTTTCAATTTGCGTATTTATAATGTAGTCGATGAAGAAAAAAAAGAAAAAACGGACAAAAGTAAAAGTTGATCGACTAGACAAAGTTGTTCCTTCGTGTTGAAAACCAGTAGATCAGGATGGTCATTAAAACAAAACCTAGGATTACTTACTAAAAAGAAAAAAAAAAACAGGCATGGTTATGACTATTTTCATAATTATTAAGGCTTGTACAGTGCACACGCTTTGCATTGTATGTTTTGTGGAATAAATGGTCAACAGTGATGAGCATTTGTGTTTTTATTTCAAATGTGACAAAATCCGAATGTCGTTTTTTTCTATTTCTCTGAAAAATAAAGTGAATTTTGTAAATAAATAACTTATATCTTCAGGGTTGGTTTAGTTCAGACAAACAAATATTCACTTTGACAAGAGGAAACACTGAGGATGTAGAGAAACATGAAAGATGCTCCAAATAGAAATTTAACTCATTTCAATGTTTTTTTTTTCTTAATTATTGTGATTAATTTTCTGTACTGTGTCACTACAGTTAACCTGGTTGCTCGTCTTTAGTGGTAATCATATTGTTGGATTTTTTAGGAAAAAAATGAAGATCTTATTTATAAAAAATGATGAAGACCAGAACAGCCTTAAATGAAAGGAAAGTTTTAGTGCGAGCTGCTGTTTTTAAGGTGGCTCTAAGCGACAGCCACCTTATCGTACTGAATCTGCGGAACATAAAATGTTCTGCTGTCCTTTTATGTCATTAACAACCTTTGCCATTCATAAACTTAGATATTTTCTCATGAGCGTTCAGTCATTCTGCTCTGCAGAGGCCTTTTAACGAGTCATTTATGTGATGCAGACGGGTTTGATAAGAAATGTACCCAAAATTAAAGATGGTCGCCCTTGAGGACTGGACTGGGTACCCCTACTCTAGTTTAACATAACCTTAAGCTTTCCTAGCCTCCTGCTGCACATTTTATATCCCTTTATTGTCTAACAATTGGAACATTTTTGTTTCGCTCCCTAATGGGCTTTATAGCAAACTTCAAAAGCTCCTGAACTTCACCAATCTACGTTGTTTCCTGTCTTTCTTTACTTGAAAAAAACTGATTAATGCAGATGACTCTGGTCATTTTTGCCATGATTAATGAGATTAATGGATTAAGGAAACTGTCCATTAGTGAAGGAAAGGAAACAAAGAAGCTGGCTGAAGTTCAGAAGGTGGTGGTTAGCATGTAGCCCATCAGATCAGCTTCGTATCATAAAAGCGTATCAGTCAGGAAATGAGAACCTACCTGAGAAAGTATTCATTTTAAACAGGGTGGCGAGCATTTATGAATAAACGTTGTTGCACCTTTCAGAATTTTTTAACATATTTTGGGCTGAAATGAGCAGAATGTGAGTCACATTAAAAGGAAAAAAGGTTTTGAAATTATCAGCTATGTACAGCATAGGATTAGGGCCAGTGGAAAAAAAAAAAAAGTTAACTGATTTTTACATTTTATTTCAGTTTAGTATGGGAAAAAAGTCAGAATTCTGACTTTTTTTCCATGTTAAACTGTAATAAAATGTAAAAATCAGTTAACCTTTTATTTTCAGTGGCCCTAATCCTCTTCCTTAGCTATGGTCTCGTCTCTTCAACAAAGAAAATAAAGGGTGAGATTTGACGTGTGTTTGGATGATTCTGGGTGAGGCTTTGGAGCACTGTGATGTAAAGCACGGCGGCAGCAGCATGATGCTACGGGGCTGTTATCAAAGAAAAGCATTGCACAAAGTGAAAAACTTTCTAAACTAAATTAACAAAGGATGAATTATTGACACTTTTATCTCCACAGATAATTACCAACTCAAATAAATAAAGGCGGCAAACCGGAAGCTTCCAGAACAGCCTTAACATTACAGCCATCTGTCAAGTCATTTAGTGCAGACCTCAGGTAATTTAAGCGCTTTCACCGTGATGACAGTTCTGCTAATGGGTTTCTACGTGTGCATCTTCTGATGGTGCCTCCTGAGGTGATAGTTCCTGGAAAAGCTCTTCCCACACTGGCTGCATTTGAACGGTCTCTCTCCCTGATGCAGCAGCAGGTGAGCCTTGAGGCTCTGCGGGCGGCTGAAGCTCTTGCCGCACTCGGGGCACGTGTGCGGCCTCACGCCCGTGTGCTTCCTCTCGTGTCGCTTCAGATCCCCGGACTGGCGGAAGCTCTCGCCGCAGTGGGGGCAGAGGAAGGGTTTCTCCCCGGTGTGAGTCCTCAGGTGCACGTTGAGCTGGCCCACGTAGGAGAAGCTCTTGCCGCAGTGGCTGCAGCTGTACGGCTTCTCGCCCGTGTGAATGCGCTGGTGCTGCTTCAGGCCGTAGTGGTTTGTGAAGCTCTTCCCGCATTCGGTGCACAAATACAAAACCTTCACCTGCTGGATGCATATGTGAGATCTGAGACCTTCTGCGTCCGGGCAGCTCGCCCCGCAGTGCTGGCATGCGTACTCCGGCCGCTCCGCCGGGCTGTCTGAGCTGCAGCTGGACAGAAGCTCCATGGGGTGGTGCCGCTTGATGTGTTTGATCAGGTAGCTCTTCATGGTGAAGGAGAACTGGCAGAAGGAGCAGGGGAAAAGCTCGGCGGTGCAGTGGTACTTCTGGCAGGATTTCTTCTTCTGGTGCTGCTTCAGCTTCGCCGACGTGGAGAATCTTTTATCGCAGGAGTCGCAACAGAAAGATTGTGCTCTTCCGTGCTCCACCTGCTTGTGTCTCCTGAGCAGATCAGAAGTAGTAAAAGCAGCTCTGCACTCCCCACACTTCAGCTGCTTCGAAGAGCAAACATGTGCTTTGAGATCGTCGGGGTTCCCGTAGGTTTGCCTGCAGCGGCTGCAGCTGAACCACTTGTATTTCACCGTTTTCGCGCCGCTGACCGCCGAGGCCCCCGGCTCTTTGGATGCTTTGCGTTTAGGTGCGACGAGTTTGGTGAGGGCAGAAACTTTGGATCTGGCTTTGAGACGCTGAGGCCTCAGAGGGGCCCGGTTTAAGGTGGAGTCTCTGGTTTCTGCAGCAGCCGAACACTCTTCTTGATTCTCGGCATCCGCTCCCTGCGAGTGCAGCTCCGTTATGTGCAGCTGCAGGGCGTCCACGGAAGAGAAAGCCAGCCAACACTCTCCGCAGCTAAACGGCTTTACGGAGGGGTCCTCTGCATCCTCTTCATTTTCCCTCTGGTGACTGGGCAGGTGCCTGCGCAGCTCGTTCTCCTTGCCGAAGCATTTCTGGCACACAGAGCAGACATAAGTGCGTGAATCCTCGTCAACAGTCTTCTTGCGCTTCTGGAGTTGCTCTTCGTTCGTGAAGATATTTCCACAAACTGAACTATCCAGCTGGTGTGTTTCTGCCTCTTCAGCAGACGGCGTCTCGGCACCGATATCCGCGTTGGCTTGTAAACAATCAGAGTCGATTTCTTTCATCTGCTCAGACGCGGCTGCTTCAGTCCTGTTAGAAAGTTCTGCTTTCAGCGCCGAGTTCTGAGGGGCCAATCTGTTTGTTTTTCTATGAATGCTCTGGTGTCTGAGCAAACCGTACGCCCGGCTGAAGCTTCTCCTGCAATGTGAGCAGCAGTAAGGCCGCTTGTTGGAGTGCACGCACTGCTGGTGCTTCCTGAGGTAGGGGACTTGTTTAAAAACTTTCCCGCAGTCGTCGCATGTTTTGGATTTAATCCCGTCGACGAGCTGCAGCGGGGAGGCTGCAGGCTCGTCTACGGAGGCGTGGTTTTCTTCTGCATTTTCAGCGTCAGGCTCAGAGTGGAAGAGTTCTATGTGTCGGAGGAGGAAGCTCTCCGTGGTGAAAGAGAGAAGACAGTTGGAGCACAGGTAAATCGGAGACGAAGTGGAATCGCCATTCACTGCAATGCCAGAGAAAAATTGGAAATGTGACAGGAATTTGATCTGAAAATCTAATTTGTGACAAATGTAGTAAAAGCTAACCTGTTCTGTTCATCTTCAAAGACAACATCTTGGTCCAATCTGAGCTGAAATGAGCGAGCAGTTTGCTGCTGGGCCACACTGTGAGCTCGTCTCCAGTCTGTATGGAGCGACGGCAGTGGAACAGGACGCTGCCTTTGCACTGGACTGCCACCAGGTTGGCCTCGTCTTTGTTCCGCGCAAAGTTTACATACCTAAGCAAACAGAAAAGCTCAGTTAAAATTTTTTAAACTTATTTAAACCCCTTGGCAGATTTATTTTCTACTTTGGAATGAGACACTTGGCATCAAAAAAACCAAGTAAAGTAAGAAATCCTGGGATTCTGCCTCCAGAATTGGACTTATAGTTTATTTTCAGATTAGTGAGGGAAATGGCCCCAACCCTCTGTAATCTATTTCAACTGTGACGTCACTCTGCAGACGGCAAACGGGCCCTTTAGCAGCTCTGGCTGCAGAAACGACGCCTGAGAAAAGAGGTTCGTGGAATTATATGTAATTATATAACGGTGCAGATGATAAGATAATTTTGTCCTCCATTAGTCTCTCTGTATCGACTTATTTCTGTTTTGCTTTTTTCAGCTAGTTACATTAGCATATGTTTATGATCTCATAAAATGTATTAAAATTGGATTTTTTTTTATATTTTCTTCCTTGCAAATTGCAAAAAACAAAACAAATATCACTTTATACCCTTCTGGTTTATACGGAGACCCAGAACTGACATGGGAGAAAAAAAAAGATACAGTGTGCGCACTAAATACTAATTTGTTCCCACAAAATATACATTTTTTACTAAAAAATACTAGGGATACTATTTCAGTTGAATAGACTCTTGCTTTACTCCTAATTTCAGGACCTGAGTGAAGTTAGCCCCCCCCACCTTCTTCAAATCAGATAGAATTTGTGTCAAATTTGTGCTGGTTTGTGGAGCAAAAATGTTTGTTTGCGGTGCTACTATTTTAAAGATATAAAGAGATGTTTCTAGAGGTCATCAAAGGTCAACCAGCCCCCCCACCCCCCAATTAACTCGGCTCCGTTTGTGCAGCTAAAACAGATGTTAACTGACCTTTGATGGCTTCTACAAAATATTATTATTATCATTGAAATGATAGCAGTACAAATGAAAATTTTTGCCTTACAAAAATATAAAATTTTTAAATTAATTTTAAATATGACATATTTAAAATAAATTAAAAAATGCATATTTTAAAATATATACATTTTTTGTACTGCAATCATTTTAATGATATTAATAATTGTTTGTAGAAGCCATCAAAGGTCAGTGAACATTTGTTCATTCTGAAACTCTGAATTTCATATAAATTATAAGTTGCTAACCTACGAATATATCATTTTAAACTAAAAAAAATTATAGCGGCACAAACGAAAATTTTTGCTGCACAAACGTTTGACACCAATTTTGTCTAATTTGAAGAAGGGGGGGGCTGGTTGACCTTTTGACCTTTACATTTTCATTAATATCTTCAAAGCCAAACTAGCACAAACGTTTGACACTAATTTTGTCTGATTTGAAGAAGGTGGGGGGACTTCACTCAGGTAATTTTCAGGTAATCCTCGCCTATTTTGCACACCCAAAGGTAAAAGCAAATAACTAAGCAACTGTCAACCCAAACTAGACGTGTGACGCATCATTTGAAAGCTACCACCTTCTTGTTTTTTGAAAATATAAATGAAAATAGTGTCCTCTAGCTACAACAGTTCCACAGCTGGATTTTTAGACTTTTATTTGTCCCCAAGGGGCGATTCTTTTCCACATACACAGAGCTCGTTTACACAAAGACAT